TGCAGTTGGCCACGTGAGAGTCCAGCACTTTTACCACTTTGCCACCTGCTGCCTCCCTTTTATCTTTTTTTTTTTTTTTAAGAATTATTTAACTTTAAATTTATTTGTTTATTTTAATTTGACCAGAGAGGGACAGAACGAGAGAGAGAGAGAGCAAGAGCAAGAGGGAAAGTGAGAAAGCAAGCAGCCAGGTCTGGGACTTGAACTGTGGTCAGCCATGTGGGAGTCCAGTGCCTTCAATCACCATGCCACCTGCTGCCTCCCCCACTTATCTTTATTTTTTTTTAAAGAATTGGGACCAGCAGTTAGCGTAATGGCTATGTCGCTGGACTCCCACGTAGTCGACCACAGTTTGGTCCAGGACCCGGTGGCTTAAAACTCACGCCGGGTGCATGTGTGTGTGTGCCCAAGATCCTGAGAGGAGAACGGAGGAGAAGGGATCGCGGCGTGGCCATCCCCCCTGGGGGGTGATTTCTCGCTTTCTGTCTCTATGTCTCTCTGTCTCTGTCTGTCTGGCGAGTGCACACGCCCTATAGCAAAAACCTCTCCAGAAAATAAAAAAAAAGATAAAGAATTATTTGATTGGGACCAGCAGTTGGCATAATGGCTATGTTTTGCTGCTCTCCCATGTCGTCAATCGCAGTTGACATCCCAGACCCGGTGGCTTAAACTAACTCCAGACGCGTGTGCCCAAGATCCTTAGAGGAGAATAGAGGAGAAGGGATTGCGGCGTGCCCATCCCCCCTGGGAGGTGATTTCTCGCTTTCTGTCTGTCTCTGTCTTTCTGGCAAGTGCATGTGCATTATAGCAAAAACCTCTTTAAAAAAAAAAAATAATTTTATTAAGTTTCATTTATTCATTCATTTATTTAATAAAATTTTTTAAAAATTTAACTTTATTCATTTATTTATTCTTTTGTTTATTTCAATTTGACCAGAGAGAGAGAGAGAGAGAAAGCGAGAAAGCAAGCCTCCAGGTCCAGGACTCAGGCCGCGGTCGGCCATGTGGGAGTCCAGCACCTTTAGCCACCACGCCCCCTGCTGGCCCTACCACCTGCCAGCCCCTATTCATTCATTTATTTTAATTTGACCGGAGAGAGAGATACACAGAGAGAGGGAGGGAAAGTCAGAAAGCAAGCACCAGGTCTGGGACTTGAACCGTAGTTGGCCATGTGGGAGTGTCCAGTGCCCTTAACCACAGTACCACCTGCTGGTCCCCCCCCCCTTTATCTTTTAACAGTGTCACTCGCCAGCTGAAACCCTTGGTGACTGACCTCTTCGGGCTCTCAGCCTGCCCTCCTTCCATCTCGTCTGCCTTCTCCTTTGCTCACCGTCCTCCAGCCCCACTGGCTGCCTCTCTGTTGTGGAACCAATCCTGCCTCGAGGCCTCTCCTTGCTGTTTCTGTCTAGAAGGCGCTGCCCCGGGACCTGCCCTAGCTGGCTCTCTGCTCAGATTCCTGTGCCCGTTTCTTAGAGGGGCTTTCCTCGACATCCTAGCTAAAGGCATCGCACCCCGCCAGACTCTCTTCACTTCCTAACATCCTATGGCTAGTTTACCTCATTCTTTTATATTGAACTCACAGCACGTGCCCAGCACTGAGTTAGGCCCAGGGATACCCTGGCGAGCAGGAACCTCTGTGTTGGTGTAGCCCGGGACAAGCTTACTAAATGGTGCTCATCGGGTGAGTGGGTGTAGCAGTCTTACAAAGAAAATTATGGGGGCCACAAGGCGGTGCAGAGGTGAAATGCCATGCTCCCCGAGGCTGGTCCACACGGGAAGGCCCCTGGTTCAAGGCCGGTAACCGCCCTGAGCACACGGCATGTGCTTGCCCATGACGGGTGCATCGGTGTCAGGACCCTGGGGGGCGTGTTCTCTCTCCCTCTCTTGTGATATAAATGAATACTCTAAGAAGTCCCTGTTCCATCTGCAGCCATGGCTATGGCAGAGCTGGGTTTAGCTGGGCCTGACTTCCCTCTAGTGCCTGCCTCCTTACTCTCCTCCTTAGAAAAACAGAAAAAAAGACAGGGCCTTACCATGTCAGGCCCCTCCTGACAGCCTCCCAAGTAGCTGGGACTCTGGGTGGGGGCCAGAGCGCAGGGACTCCAGCACACCTCCTGCCTGCCTGACTGCCTGACTGCCTGTCCTGTGGGCCCTTTCTTGGCTAGTTTCTCCTCCTGCCTGGCGACCCAGGACCACTGAGTCACGAGTGGGGCCAACAGGAAGAATCCAGGCCTGGGTGGGGGAGCAGGAGGTCTGCTTGAAGTCCTGTCTCTGCTGTGTGCCCTTGGAGAGTTCGCTGTACTTCTCTGTGTCTCTAATGTCACGTTGCCCAAGTGGGAAGAAAGTCCTCTGAGGGACCAGCAGATGGTGTAATGGTTACGTTGTTGGACTACCACAGAGTTGACCACAGTTCGAATCCTGGATTCGGTGACTTAAAACTCACACAGAAGTGTATGCGTACATGTCCAAACTCCTGAGGGGACTGGAGAGGAAGGGATTGCGGCGTGGCCGCGAATCACCCAAGTCACCCTGGCAGGTGATTTCTAGCTTTCTGTCTCTGTCTGTCACTGTTTCCAGCGAGCACACACTCCCTATAGCAAAAATCTCTCTTTAAAACAAGTCCTCTGGAGGTGTGGGGCTGCACATACCTTGAGCCGTATTGCCACCTCCCTGGGACTCTGCGACATCCCCCTGGCTTTCTAGCGCTGTGTCCTGCCAGACCTTCCAGGAGGGCCTCTGCCCACACCTCGGCCCCCCACTGGCAGCTCTGTCCTCAGGGAATTATCCTCAGTGGCCGGGAGGGCTTGGGATTGGCACCGTGCCAAGTCTAGCTTGGCGGCAGCTCCACCTGCCATCTGGCAGCAGGGACCCCTGGCTTCTGAATGTTTAGACAAGGAGTTGGAGGCAAGTTTAGTGACCCGAGGCCGAAACTGTCTTCAGTCCTCATGGTCGCCCTCTCCTCCAGCAAAGAGCGCCCACACTCCGGGCCTCAGTTTCCGTCCCTCAGTTTCCGTCCCTCGCCCCTGCACCCCACTTGAGGGCGGGCTTGGTGGGTGGGCGGGGTCAGCGGCGGCGGGGGG